AAAACATGTAGGCCGGCCCAAAGAGAAAGTAGGCCTGGGTCCAAGACAAAGTGGGCCGGCCCCAATTAAAACAGTAGGCCGGGGTTAAAGAAAACATGTAGGCGGGGCCCAAAGGCAAGTGTGGCCGGGGTCCAAGACAACATGTAGGCCGGGTCCAAGAAAACATGTGGCTGGGTCCAAGACAACATGTGGCCCGGGGTCCAAGAAAACTGTGGGGCCTGACCCCAAAGGGAAAATTGTAGGCGGGGTCCAAGCACATGTAGGCCTGGGCCCAAGACAACTTGGCTGGATCCTAGAAAACATGTAGGCCTGGGTCCAAGACAACAATAGACCTGGGTAAAAGACAACAGTAGGCCGGGCCCAAGACAACATGTAGGCCGGGGCAAGAGAACTGTGGCCCTGGGTCCAAACAAATTTTGGCCCGGGTTCAAAAAAAACATGTGGGGCCTGAGTCCAAGAAAACATGTAGGCCGGGCTAAAAAGACAGCAGTAGGCCGGTCCAAGACAAATGTAGGCCGGGGGTAAAGGCACATGTGGCCTGGGTCAAAGCAACATGTAGGTCTGGGTTAAAAGACAAATGAGGGGGGGCCCAAGACACATGTGGCCTGGGTTCAAGGCAACTGTGGCCTGGGTAAAAAAAGAGCTGTGGCCCTGGGTCCAAGAAAACATGTAGGCTGGGTCAAGAAAAGTGACGATTGGGCCCAAAGACAACTGTGGCTGGGCCAAGACAACATTGGGCCTGGGTTAAAGACAATGTAGACAGGGGCCCAAGAAAAACATGTAGGCCTGGGTCCAAGGAACATGTGGCTGGGCCCAAAAACATGTGGGCTTGGGTCCAAGACATCATTAGGCCGGGGTTAAGACAAATGTGGGCCCTGGGTCCAAAAAAACCTTTGGGCCCGGGTTTCAAGACACATGTAAGCGGGTCCCAAGGAAAACATGAGGCCTGGGCTCAAAACAAATGTAGCCTGGGTCCAAGAAAACCCGTAGGCCTGGGTCCAAGACAACATGTGGCCTGGGTCCAAGAGAACTGTAGGCTGGTGAATTAAAAAACAACGGATATGCGAATATTGAGACAGAAAAAAAAGCTGAGTTAAATGGTTTATTAAATTTCTCAAAACAGTGTCCGAATATTTTGTTTTTAAATATTGTCAAGTTGGGAAACCAGAGATTTTTTGTAGCGGGGCGGCAAACTTTGTAGTAGCCACAGTCGTGGCCAGGCTTCCACCTTTCTTATACAAAAATAATGGATGGAACAGTCTACCTGTCATTAAAAGTCAGTCATGCATTATAGATTTAAAAAAGCATTAAAAGGACCCAATGGAAAAAGTCACTTTGTCTGTGTTTAAGGTTGTTACACATATGTTGTTGTATGTAATATATGTAATGTATTTGTGTTTATGAATAAATTATTATTTGTGTATACTACTGAATAAACTTACTTATTTGTGTTTACTACCTGAAAAAAACTTCTTATTTGTGTATATTTCCCGAAAAAAATTCTTGTTTGTGTTACTACCTGAAAACTTACTTTTTGGTATACTCAGAATAAATTATTATTTTGTTATTACCAAAATTTAATTCTTATTTGTGTTACCCCTGAGTAAATTACTTTTTGTGTTCTACTGAAAAAATTACTTATTTGTGTTAAACTAAATAAAACTTATTTTATTTCGTATATTCCTAAATTAAACTTATTTGTTTGTGTTATACCTGAATAACTTACTTATTTGTGTTAAAATTCCTAAATAAATTCTTGTTTGTGTTTAAAACCTAAATAAACTTACTTTTTTGTGTATACTACTAAAATTTAAACTTCTTTTTTGTGTTATCCTGAATAAACTTATTTGGTTTGTGTATATACTGAAAAAACTTATTATTTGTGTAAAACCCCTGAATAAACTTCTTGTTTGTGTTTAACTACTGAAAAACTTATTTATTTGTGTTATACCCGAATAAATATTACTTAAGTTAAAACCATTTAAAAGAAAAAAGTTTTTCAAATAGAATGTTTTTATATACATTAGTTAAAACAAAGTCAATTCTTTTGACAAATGCTTAAAAATGTAAATGCATCTGTTAAAAAGTAGTTTTTTTAGGGGTTTTAATTTTAAAAAATAAATATTTTATATTTATATTTTGAAAACAAATTTTAATTTTTGGTTTCGTATTTTTTATGAAAGTTGTTTTTGAAAAGTAAGTTGGCGGGTTAAAAATGTCGAGTTTTTAAATATTTGGGAAGATATTACTTTTTTTTGGTCTTTAATTCTTTGTAAAGTATATTGGGTCTTAACAAGTTAAATGATGGTTATTATTACTTAATTAAGTAAAAAGAGTTAGACAGAAATTAAAATAAAAACTGACCCCATTTAAGTGTTCTGGACCTGAGTTTTATTGTTTTTTTTGGATTTTTTTGGATTTAGGTCTTTAGGTGTTTTAAAGGTTTATTCCTGAAATTTTTAGGTCTCCCCCTTTCCTTTGGGTCAAAACATGATGGGTTCTGAGTCTCCTAGACAAAACCCTTGACATTTCACATTTATTTTATCTTATCTTAACTGTTTTAGCCCCCGTGGTTTAGCGCTTCTTTTTGATTATAATAATGAAGGTAGATAATGTAGGATAATTGTTGGTTTAGAAAGACACGTAAGCAAACACTGACATTTATTAGAAAACGTTTCGGTCCTGGGACCTTGATCACTTCTAACAAGATCAAGGTCCCAGGACCGAAACGTTTTCTAATAAATAATTATAATTTCTTCTGGTGGGTAATTTACACTATGATAATTGTACTTACATGTACTTGTGTCTATGTAAACTTTCTTGCGTCATCGAGGATGGTCTGTCTTATTTCCATTGTGGTGTTTAATCTGTTCCCCGGGATGCACCCACCTCCAGTCACATTCTATGCCCTATCATCGCCACGATACACAATATCTTTAACCTACACTTTTATAATGACCTTATCACGAAAATCACCACTAACGAAAGCAAAGACTTGGCAGAACGAGCAACATACCCCCAATGAAAACAGGTTTTTGACTAACGTTTGGATCGACCATTAATTATTCAGGGGCCAGACTTCAACCGAACTTCCAATACAAAGGGGATTACCAACTATCCTGGGCAGTCTTACAAGCTGCAATTGACAGCCTAAAGTCGGTTCCTGACCAGCACGGCTGTGGCCCCGACGTTGGTTCTATTTGCATGTGCCAGCGTTAACTTGCCCGTTGACCAGGCTCTGATCCACAGGAGGCCTGTCACGGACCAGGCCGCGGGGGCGTTGACCCCAACAATCTCTTCCAGGTAAACAGGTTAAAGCCTTACTTAACTTTAACATTTTAAGCTAATAGCAATCACGCTAGTGGCAATTTTTTTTTTAAATTTATGAACAGTCGTTCATTACTAATTTGAGTTGATAGACTTGTGTTTGAGGATAAGATGTGTTTAAATAAGTAATAAGTATATTAAAAAACTTTAGTTTAAGTACTAGTTAAGTAAGGTACAATTTATACAATAGTTAAATGTAACACAGATAACCAAAAAACATCAGACAAAGTGACTTATTTCCATTGGGGTCCTGAGAATACATGTTTCATTAAGGCTTCTGGCACTGTGGGGAGACACAGTAGGGCCACAGATTGTGCCAGTGGGGTGTCCTGTGGCTTGGTCGGCAGCGCATTTGCCTCACAACACAAGTGTGTCCGTGGTTCTATCCCCAGCATGTTGGTAACATTGGTCGTGTTTCCTTACACCTGCCGTCACCGTGCACCTAGGAGGATGTTGGTGGCATCCTGGGGGATAAGATTGGAGGACCACAATGGAAATAAGGCAGACATGATGCATTGACTATCTTGGGTTATCCTGGGTGGCTAACTCTCCCCTGGGTTATCCTGGGTGGTTAACTCTCCCCTGGGTTATCCTGGGTGGCTAACCTTCCCCTGGGTTATCCTGGGTGGCTAACCCTCCCCTGGGTTATCCTGGGTGGCTAACCCTCCCCTGGGTTATCCTGGGTGGCTAGCCCTCCCCTGGGTTATCGTGGGTGGCTAACCCTCCCCTGGGTTATCCTGGGTGGCTAACCCTCCCCTGGGTTATCATGGGTGGCTAACCCTCCCCTGGGTTATCCTGGGTGGCTAACCCTCCCCTGGGTTATCCTGGGTGGCTAACCCTCCCCTGGGTTATCCTGGGTGGCTAACCCTCCCCTGGGTTATCCTGGGTGGCTAACCCTCCCCTGGGTTATCCTGTGTCAACCCTTCCTCCCTGAGGTTAAAAATATCAACAGATCTTATCTTAATCATGTTGCAGTAGTGCTGTCTGCACTACTGCAACATGATTATTCAACCTAACCTGTAATAATGTGGCAACATTTCACTCCAGGAGTCTTGTCAGGCCATTTCTCACGGCTTGACAAAGTTCCTGGAGAGTGAAACATTGCCACAGTAAAATGTTGCATTAATTGCACATTTGTCCTACCTAACAGCTTAACCTATACCTGGCATTAATGTAGTATTTTCCTGTCAAGTGAGCATCCAGTGCCAACTTCTCGGCTTCATATCTCGGTAAATACTGACCCTAAAATTTTTTTTTTATCCTATGACACTTAGAAAATTGTGCTTTTTTTTTTTTTTGCAATAAAAAAAAAACGATTTTTTTATTTTTCAAAATATTTGGGGCACTGGGGTAGTGAACGTATATATACGTTTTGACCGTTTACGGGTTAAGTACTATTGGTATTGGTGTGTATCGAAAGATTTTGATAGTATTGATATGAAATTGAATATCGGTATTGACAAATATTTTGATGTTATCCCATCACGCATTTTCAGTTTTAGATATGGTTAGACTGGCTTTTTAAATTTTGTATATGTATTGTTAAGTTTGGACTTCACTGTTGTTGAGGTATAAATGATCATGCAAGTGTCGAGCTGGAAATTAAATGGTTGGGCTTCTACTGAAGATGTTTTTCTCAACCTTGTGAGCCGCAAACACCAAAGATATATCATACATTTCTTTGCAGTCTCATCCGTGAAGAAACGTGCAGGATGTATGTCAAGTGTATGGTGATTGATGGGTTTAAAAGTTACGGGCAGCGGACGGAAATAAATGGCTTTGATCCGCTGTTCAACGCCATCACAGGACTCAATGGATCTGGAAAATCAAATATTTTAGATGCAATATGCTTCTTGTTGGGCATCACAAATCTCAGCCAGGTGAGAGGTTTATGCATTATTCACCAGTCTAAACTAAGAATTTAGGTTAATTTTGATTCTGTTTCACTTTATCTGATGAATAAAACACATGCAACACTTGATTATCTTGGTTCTTTAGTATTGGTGAATTTTGGCAATAAGGATGCCCAAGTGTTGCACATGTGTCTTGTTCATTAGATGGTGAGTATTATGTACCATTAATAATATGATCATCTTATTACGTCAGTTAGACTATTGGTTCTGGGGGTTTGTCACCCCAGTAGCCCAGTCTCAAACTGAGTTCTGGAAGTTGGAAGGAAATATAATATTTCAGAAATAATTATAAAGAAACTTAGGAAATAAAAGTTATGGTATATAGAACGTAAGAGGTGTGTCGAATTTACATGTTATGTAATGTGTTCATGAGACAACATAAAGGAACCAACAGTCCTTTCGAAATAGTGTAGTGGTATCATGCAAGATTCCCATTCTTGCGACCCGGGTTTGATTTCTGGGCAGCAAACTCAGTTTTCAAGGACCCAATGGCAATAAGTCACTTTTTATGACATTATTGGATTATTCTAGGTAATTTGTATACATGTTACTATGATAATTTTTTTTTTTATATAATCTAAAACATTGCATAAATACAAGGAGGTATAAAAGTATCATAAAATGAACTATGATACTGGTTATGAACAGTAAAACCAAAAATCTGAACCCCAACACAGAAAATAACACCATACTTAATGGCAGTATGACACTCAGAATACGACTCACAACGTATCATTCAAAACCGGCATTATACAAAATATTACTATTGCTGTGCTACACACAGCTGACATTTTCCCCCCCCCCCCTACACACACATTAAAATTATACCCACATTCACCAATCTGAAGAATCATATAATTCAACTTAAATTTTATGAGTATATCCTGAACTCATCAGTAACTAAGTAATAAGTATTAACAAACAATGGTGGTACATCAACACCGAAATCACAAAACATTAAATTATAAACTATTAACAAAAAGTTATTTTTTTTTTTTATCAAAATCCATACATCAGATATAAAATAAATTGAGACAGCGTTACCAAGTCTGCCGTCCAGACAACAATGATAGTACATGCACACATCAGTATTGTGTGTGAAAACAAAGCCTCTATCCCACAATCCTAGGATACACAGCAAATAATACATTATAATATCAACTAAACATAATGGAGCTACCTAGTAAAACAAACCTGTACCATGGTTACAAAAAATTTCCATGATATGTAAAAAGAATTCTATGCCTGCATAATACGTCCACTTGAATAATTGTACTGCTTACAAGAATGCATGGCATATAGACAATAGAATTACAACTTACGTAAAAATACCAGAAATTTTTTTTACGATGAGTATACAAAAGTAGTCATTCCCTCAACCCCCCCCCCTTCCCCCGGGCAGGATCCCACTTCACCCCACCAATTTATTCCCTTACTACTAATATCTGCTATTCTATCGACCCAAACCTTGTAACGAAAGTGGCATAGCCATATCATCAGTAAGGTATCAGAGGCATGTATGTACAGAACTTGTACACAATAAGGGACCATTCGGTAAGAAACCGAATCATGTACACATGTTACTATGATAATTGTACTTATGTATACTGACCAAAATAAACTTACTTGCTCAACAGGCTTATAGTTAACACTGACATGACAGGAGGGTTGTACCACCATAGGATGGTTGTCTTATTTCTACAAATTACTTCATAATATCTAGGTGGCATGTTTTGGGAGAATTGATTATTGAAGATAGAGAAGTGTGCATTTTCTCTCATGTATCACTGTGTAAAGTTTTTTAAATAAAAACTATTTTCTTTCTTTTGCTTTTCGTTTTTTAAAAACCAGCCACTGTCTGCCAAGACAGAGTAAACACCCTATAAGGAAATGCATTTACCATTATCTCATAACTTTGCCTGGGATAGGATTTAAAAATTGTACGACCCTCCGAGGTGTGGAAGTACAGTGCGGGTACTGAACCTCTATCCCTCCCTCAGGGTGCAGGCACTGCACCTCCATCCCTCCCTCAGGGTGCAGGCACTGAACCTCCATCCCTCCCTCAGGGTGCAGGCACTGCACCTCCATCCCTCCCTCAGGGTGCAGGCACTGCACCTCCATCCCTCCCTCAGGGTGCAGGCACTGAACCTCCATCCCACTTTCAGGGTGCAGGCACCACCTCCATCCCTCCCTCAGGGTGCAGGCACTGTACTTCCCTCCTCCATCCCTCCCTCAGGGTGCAGGCACTGTACTTCCCTCCTCCATCCCTCCCTCAGGGTGCAGGCACTGTACTTCCCTCCTCCATCCCTCCCTCAGGGTGCAGGCACTGAAACATCCCTCCTCCATCCCTCCCTCAGGGTGCAGGCATGTACTTCCCTCCTCCATCCCTCCCTCAGGGTGCAGGCACTGTACTTCCCTCCTCCATCCCTCCCTCAAGGTGCAGGCACTGAAACTTCCCTCCTCCATCCTCCCTCAGGGTGCAGGCACTGCTTCCCTCTCCATCCCTCCCTCAGGGTGCAGGCACTGTACTTCCCTCCCTCCATCCCTCCCTCAGGTGCAGGCACTGTACTTCCCTCCTCCATCCCTCCCTCAGGGTGCAGGCACTGTACTTCCCTCCTCCATCCCTCCCTCAGGGTGCAGGCACTGTACTTCCTCCTCCATCCTCCCTCAGGGTGCAGGCACTGTGCTTCCCTCCTCCATCCCTCCCTCAGGGTGCGGCACTGTACTTCCCTACCTCCATCCCTCCCTCAGGGTGCAGGCACTGTACTTCCCTCCTCCACCCTCCCTCAGGGTGCAGGCACTGTGCTTCCCTCCTCCATCCCTCCCTCAGGGTGCAGGCACTGTACTTCCCTCCTCCATCCCTCCCTCAGGGTGCAGGCACGTACTTCCCCCCTCCATCCCTCCCTCAGGTGCAGGCACTGTACTTCCCTCCTCCATCCTCCCTCAGGGTGCAGGCACTGTACTTCCCTCCTCCATCCCTCCCTCAGGGTGCAGGCACTGTACTTCCCTCCTCCATCCCTCCCTCAGGGTGCAGGCACTGTGCTTCCTCCTCCATCCCTCCCTCAGGGTGCAGGCACTATACTTCCCCTCCATCCCTCCCTCAGGTTGCAGGCACTGTACTTCCCTCCTCCATCCCTCCCTCAGGTGCAGGCACTGTACTTCCCTCCTCCATCCCTCCCTCAGGGGGGCAGGCACTGTACTTCCTCCTCCATCCCTCCCTCAGGTGCAGGCACTGTATTTCCCCCCTCCATCCCTCCCTCAGGGTGCAGGCACTGTGCTTCCCTCCTCCACCCCTCCCTCAGGGTGCAGGCACTGTACTTCCCCCTCCATCCCTCCCTCAGGGTGCAGGCACTGTACTTCCCTCCTCCATCCCTCCCTCAGGGTGCAGGCACTGTACTTCCCTCCTCCATCCCTCCCTCAGGGTGCAGGCACTGTACTTCCCTCCTCCATCCCTCCCTCAGGGTGCAGGCACCACCTCCATCCCTCCCTCAGGGTGCAGGCACTGTGCTTCCCTCCTCCATCATTCCCTCAGGGTGCAGGCACTGTGCTTCCCTCCTCCATCATTCCCTCGGGGTGCAGGCACTGTGCTTCCCCCTCCTCTTCCCTCAGGGTGCAGGCACCACCTCCATCCCTCCCTCAGGGTGCAGGCACTGTACTTCCCTCCTCCATCATTCCCTCAGGGTGCAGGCACTGTGCTTCCCTCCTCCATCATTCCCTCAGGGTGCAGGCACCACCTCCATCCCTCCCTCAGGGTGCAGGCACTGTGCTTCCCTCCTCCATCATTCCCTCAGGGTGCAGGCACTTTGCTTCCCTCCTCCATCATTCCCTCAGGGTGCAGGCACTGTGCTTCCCTCCTCCATCATTCCCTCAGGGTGCAGGCACTGTGCTTCCCTCCTCCATCATTCCCTCAGGGTGCAGGCACTGTGCTTCCCTCCTCCATCATTCCCTCAGGGTGCAGGCACTGTGCTTCCCTCCTCCATCATTCCCTCAGGGTGCAGGCACTATACCAAGGCCCTCTCCTGTTCCCAGGGACTGTTTGAGCATTATGAATACAGTATTATTATTATTATTATTATTATTATATTATTTTTATTATTATTTATTATTATTTAACACTGGTTGTCTCTCATCAAGGTAGAGTGACCCAAAAAAGAAATACTTTCACCATCATTCACACTATCACTGTCTTGGGCAGAGTTGTACAGATACAACAGTTCAGATGTCCCTCCAAACAGCAAATAATAATAATATCTTCATATTCTTATTCATCTTATTGTAAATAATAATAATCAATCATCATCAACATCATCATAAATCATCATCATCATCATCATCATCATCATCATCATCATCATCATCATCATCATCATCATCATCATCATCATCATCATCATCATCATCATCATCATCATCATCATCATAAATCATCATCATCATCATCATCATCATCACATCATCATCATCATCATCATCATCATCATCATCATCATCATCATCATCATCATCATCATCATCATCATCATCATCATCATCATCATCATCATAAAATCATCATCATCATCATCATCATCATCATCATCATCATCATCATCATCATCATCATCATCATCATCATCATCATCATCATTTTTAAGATGTTGACCATTTTCCAGGGTGACCCAAAAAGAAAAAAAAACCCTTTTCATTATGATTCAACACTTTCACCATCACTCAATCATAATCAATGTCTTTGCAAAGGCACTCAGATACGACAGTTTAGATGTCCCTCCAATCTGACAATATCCTGTATACAGTGTTTCCTTTTGAGTTCTTCATTCTTTCTATACCTAAGCAGCTGGAACTTATCCCCACTGAATGTCATGTTGTTCTTCACTGCCCTTTAAAGTGCAGGCATTGTACTTTTCATTTCCAGGACTCAAGTCCGACTAACCCGTTTCCCTGAATCCCTTCACAAAATATTACCCTGCTCACATTTCAACAGCTCAGGTCCCAAAAACCATTCGTCTCCATTCACTCCTATCTAACACTCTCACGAATGCTTTCTAGAAGTCCAAGCCCCTCACCCACAAAACCTCCTTTACCCCCTCCCTCCAACCTTTTTGAGGATGCCCCCTACCCTGCCTTCCTTTCCCTACAGATTTATGTGCTCTCCAAGTTATTCTACTTTGTTCCATTCTCTCTAATTGACCAAACCACCTCAACAACCCCTCTTCAGCCCTTTTTTGCAACTCAACACCTCCTAATTTCCACACTATGAATTCTCTGCATAATATTTACACCACACATTGCCCTTAGACAGGACATCTAAACTTCCTCCAGCCTCCTCCTCGCTGCAGCAGTTACAACCCAAGCTTCACACCCATATAAGAGTGTTGGAACCACTATACTTTTGTATATTCCCTTCTTTGCCTCCATGGATAATGTTTTTTGTCTCCACAGATACCTCAATACACCACTCACCTTTTTTTCTTCATTAATTCTATGGTTAACCTCATCCTTCATAAACCCATTAACTGGCAAGTCAACTCCCAAATATCTGAAAACATTTGCTTCTTCCATACTCCTCCCTCCAATGTGATATCCAATTTTTCTTTATCTAAATCATTTAATGGCCTCATCACCTTATTCTTATCTATGTTCATTTTCAACTTTCTACCTTTTTACCTTTATTTATTTTTATTTTTTTTTATTGAAAGAAATATTCAGAGGTAATAACTGTGTTGGAGTGTCAGAAACATTGATAATAGGTATAACACAATGAAGTATGAGCTGCCACATCTGATGTATGGGGCCCAGGAGTGGGCTTCAAAATTAGAAAAAATCTTGAAAATACATCAACAATACATAACTTAAAGAATCTTTAACATTCCTTTATCATACAAATACAAGTTTTTTGTAGCTAGTTCGTGTTGCAGGTTCGTGCTACAAACTTACAAGAACTCGTTTATAAAAATGGACAAGCAGGTGTAACCAAGGCCACAGTCACCGTTACCTTTGACAACACGGATAAGAAGCAGAGTCCCATAGGTTACGACCACTACGATGAAGTCACCATCACCCGTCAGGTAAAGCGCAGAGCTAAGATTGTGGTGTCTTGTCTTCAGTATTTAAGCTTTCCTCTTTCAACAAACCGGCCATATCCCACCAAGGCAGGGTGACCCATAAAGAAAAACAAAAGTTTCTGTTTTTAAATTGAGTGATATATACACGAGAAGATGTACTACCCTTGCTCTCGGCATTTTAGTTGCCTCGTAGGACACACATGGCTTACGGAGGAAGAATTCTTTTCGACCTCCAGTATTTAATCTATTGTAAACTTTTTTTCAGTTTTAACCCTTAACCCGTAAACGGTCCAAACGTATATATACGTTTTTTCAACATTTGAAAGTATGTAAAAAAGTGGATCTTCTTTTTGTTTTTTTACATTTGAAAATGTGTAAAAAAAACTTTGATCTACTTTTTTTTTTTGTTATACAGTGGTCCCTCATTTTTCGTAATTAATCCGTTCCTGGAGGAGCTACTATAAACGAAATTTACGATTTGCGAATCAATTTTCCCCATAAGAAATAATGTAAATACAATTAATCCGTTCCTGACACCCAGAAGTATTAAAACAAAAAAAATTTTTACATGAAATATATATGTAGTACATAAACAATACAATGGGAAATGATGAATGAAACATTAACAGCATAACACTTACCTTTATTGGAGATTCTTCTTACTGTATGGGAGACTGGAGGAGGAGAGAGAGTGGATTGTTTATAGTTTGGAAGGGGAATCCCCTTCTAGCAACACCTCAGGTACCAATTGCTTTTTTGGGGTTGCTTGTCTTCTCTGTTTGTTAATGCCACTAAGACCACCTTGAAAGTCACTGGAGTCCTGTCTCGCAAAATAACTGTGGAGAGAGCTCTGTTTCTGGCGTCTCTTTAACACTTCCCTAAAATGGCCCAAGACTTTGTCACTGTACATGTTGCCAACCTGGCTTGCAACAACCTTGTTAGGGTGATGTTTCTCCATAAAGCTTTCCATCTTACCCCACATAGTAAAAATCTCTCTAATTTCTGAAGAAGGCACCTTCTTCCATCTCTCTTCCTCCTCCTCTGCAGCAAGATTCTGAGCTGCGATCTGTTGCTCTTCCTGCCGAAGCTCTTGCAGCTCCTCAGTGGTGAGCTCTTCATTGTGGTCTTCCACCAATTCTTCCACATCCTCCAAACTCACATCCAACCCCATGGAACTCCCCAGTGCCACAATTGATTTTACAACAGACATAGGCTCATCAGGGTTAGTCCCAAAGCCTTCAAAATCCCTCTTGTTGACACAATCTGGCCACAATTTTCTCCAGGTAGAGTTCAAAGTCCTGGTAGTCACTCCCCCCCAAGCCATACCTATAAGGGTTATGCAATGGAGGATGCTGAAGTGTTCTCTCCAAAATTCCCTTAGGGTCAAGTGAGTGTCTGTGGTAACAGTCAAGCATCTGTGAAACATTGCTTTTGTGTAGAGTTTTTTAAAGTTTGCAATGACCTGCTGGTCCATGGGCTGGAGGAGAGGAGTGGTATTCGGGGGCAAGAACTTTACTGGGATGAACCCAAACTCCTCGAAAATTAGGTCATCCAAGTTTGGAGGATGAGCAGGTGCATTGTCCATTACTAGCAGGCACTTGAGATCCAATTTCTTTTTTCCCGGAGATACTCCTTCACACTAGGGCCAAACACTTCATTGAACCACTCGACAAAAATTTCCCTCATGACCCATGCCTTACTATTAGATTTCCAAAACACACACAATTTACTCTTCATAACATTGTTTTTCCTGAACACTGGGATTTTCAGAATGGTACACTAGTAATGGCTTCACTTTGAAATCCCCACTAGCATTAGCACAGAACATTAGCGTCACCTGTCTTTCATTTGGCTTGTGTCCTGGCATTGCCTTTTCCTCTTGTGTAATGAAGGTCCTCTTTGGCATTTTCTTCCAAAAGAGGCCTGTTTCGTCACAATTGAACACTTGTTCAGGTTTCAGTCCTTCAGCCTCTATGTACTCCTGGAATTCATGCACATGTTTTTCCCTTGAGTCCTGGAAATGGAAGTACAATGCCTGCACTTAAAGGAGTTTTGGGATTTTGGCAGTTTGGAGGGATATGTTGTGTACTTTAACGTATTCTTCAAAACTGTTGTATTTGACACCTCGAAAAAGCCGTGATAATTGTGAGGGGGAAAGGTTGAAGAGAGAAAGTATTTTTCTTTTTGGGGATTTTCTTTCTTTTTTGGGGTCCCCCTCCTCGGGGGGAGACCCCGCTTGTTGAAAAAAAAAAAAAAAAATTCAGCCCCCTTTTGTGGTCCGAACTGGAGCCTTAACCATCCTTCCCACACTGTGTATGCCATGGTTCTTAAATCTCTCAAACCACCCTTTGCTGCCTTTTAAATTCGCTCACATCACCACTATTGGGGGCATTTCTTTCCCCAAAACGCATGCAACTGCCTAGCCTTTTCACAAATAACGAAGTCATAAGATATCTCCTGCTAATTTTTTTCTTTATCCCACCAAAATAACTTTTCAAACCCCTTTGATACTGGGGTCTCATTTTTGTCAGCAAGTTTTCCCCTTTGCAACAACAGCATCCTTATTTCCCTTTTTTTTGGCCACTAGGAACATATGGTTTTGTAGGGTTTTTTAAAAATCCTGGCAGTTCGGCCCCACTTGTACCACTTTTCATATGTTCAATCATGGTTTTCTTAAATTTAATCGTATTTCTCACCTTCTTTACCACAGGGGGTTTTGGGACGGGCTTTCTTTTGGGGCCATGGTAGCTTATTTAGTACTTACAAGCACTAAAATAAATGGAATATTATGAAATATTTCGCTGGAGCATGTGAGGGGACCTTCGGTCACTGGTAAACAATGCCAGACTGGCTGCCGCCACGGCTCATGCCGTGGGTACGCGTCCCGGACGAACTACGACTCGCGAGTCAACCTATGAAAAGCGAGTCCATGTTTATACGAAAATACCCCTATGATTGGCGAAATTTACGATTGCCGAGAACTATGAAAAGCGAGGGACCACTGTACAGTATTTGAAAATATGTAAAAAAAACGTAGATCTACTTTTGTAGCACTACACATGTGAACGTAGATCTGTTTGGACAGTTTATGGGTTAAACTGTCCAAACGTAGATCTACGTTTTTTTCAACATTTGAAAGTAGTACGTAAAAAAATGTAGATCTTTTTTGTTTTTTTCCATTTGAAAACGTGTAAAAAACTTTGATCTGCGTTTTTTTTTGTTACATTTGAAAATTGTAAAAAAACTTAGATCTACTTTTGGAGCACTACGCATGTGAACATAAATCTGTTTGGACAGTTTAAGGGTTAATTGGCTATACCAATTACTACTTTCTCCTGTAAATCATTTCATTGGTCTACTACCTTACAAAGAAAAGCTTCCAAGTATTCTTTTAACAGCTTCTCTTCCTTAGTTTATAATTATGGCCTCTTTTTCTGCCATTTGATGGAGTAGTTAAGTCCTTGTCAGTTTCCTCATATGCTTCAATGTGGTTATCATATATCTGTTCTTCCTCTCAGAGATAGCACATCTAGTGCTTTCAACCTTCATATCTAATATTTTTTTGGCTCTGGGAGTCTTTTCACATAGTACGTAATATGTAGTTTATAATGGTGATATTATGTTCATTGGGAAAATGTCTCGTGGCAATAATCAGTAGATTAAGAACTTGTACAGATGCTCTTTGCTTTATGATGGCTCTACTTAAGACACTATTTCGAATTTTTGATGACGCGATAGCGATGCATATTCAGTACTGTACTGTGCATTTATTGATAAGATAAACTTGTATTCATTTATTTACTTTACAATACTGGTATTTAGTTAGTTACAGTAATTATTTTTATGTATTTATTCAGTGACAGTAGTTATTTATTTACTTGTTTATCATATACAGTGGACCCCCGCATAACGATTACCTCCGAATGCGACCAATTATGTAAGTGTATTTATGTAAGTGCGTTTGTACGTGTATGTTTGGGGGTCTGAAATGGACTAATCTACTTCACAATATTTCTTATGGGAACAAATTCGGTCAGTACTGGCACCTGAACATACTTCTGGAGTGAAAAAATATCATTAACCGGGGGTCCACTGTATTCATATTTGACTTAGGATATTTTCAACTTATGGTGGGTTTGTTGGAATGTGACCCCATCGTAAGATGAGGAGCACCATACCAGAGCTAGGTATCATCTCCACTGATTGCTGGCTTAAAGGTGTTGTAGTTAATAGTTTCTTAATTTTTTGAAATTTATGGAAGTGTCTTAGTTTATCTACTTATCTTTGTACAGTAAATCCTTGATTTAATGGATCCAGGCAATATTATTGGAAGAGATCCATTAGATCATTTGATTCGGAAACAACGGATAAAGTCCATTGGTTACAGATTGGACATTTGTTGTTTCGATCATGGTAAACCAGTCGCGTCTCTGTTCACTATTATCGCCATTACTAGCCACCCACTTCCTCTTATTAGTTTATTAAATTCAGGATTTACAATACAGCCTCTCCTCACTTAATGATGTACTCATTTACCAACACCTCGGACATACAACGGGCTCTCTCACCAGTATTCATACCTAAATAATGTATATTAGAGCTGATTTCCTCTATTATGTTTATTTCAATATACAGTATACTACTGTATACTGTATACTACTGTACAAACATTTAAAAATAAGCCAGAAATGTTATAAATGGTGCAAAGGTAACATTAAAACAAGATCAAAGATGGCTGACACAAACTCACTACCATTATAGCTTGCTCCTCACTTAGCGATGAATTCGTTTTACAACGTGGTCTTAGCAACGGAACTTCGTCGTTAAGCGAGGAGAGGCTGTACAGTGGACCCCCGGTTAACGAACTTTTTTCATTCCAGTAGTATGTTCAGGTGCCAGTACTGACCGAATTTTTTCCCATAAGGAATATTGTGAAGTAGATTAGTCCATTTCAGACCCCCAAACATACACGTACAAACGCACTTACATAAATACACTTACATAATTGGTCGCATATGGAGGTGATCGTTAAGCGGGGGTCCACTGTATTATGCTTTTTTTACTTTCATTTTTATGTTTACTATGATTCTTCTTAGGATTTTTTATTTGTTCCCAGTACTATTCCTTTACATAATACTAACTTCTAAGAGTCTTTTGTTAAGGTTAGTTTTGTTAAAGTTTAGTGCTTCATTATAAATTCTGTCTTAGCCTAATTCTGGTCAAAATGTTGGTCATTCTGTGGGTTGTGCTCTAGTAGTGTACTTATTTTGTAATGCTTTTTAATACACTATAACCAAAGTGTACTTTATTGCTGATGTACTTTTATTGTCTTGTTAATTATGAATTTTATTCCTATAACAATGTATTGTAATTATTAATCATAAAATTCATGCTGGTTGTATTTTTTTTCTCTCTTCAGGTTGTAATTGGTGGGCGTAATAAGTACATGATAAATGGTACCACAGTGCAGAATAGCAGGGTGCAAGATTTCTTCCGCTCAGTGCAGCTTAATGTCAACAATCCCCACTTCCTCATCATGCAGGGGCGTATAACAAAAGTCCTCAACATGAAACCTCCGGAAGTATGTGGCTTATGTTCTAACTGAACATAATTTTGCTTAAAAATAGTTTTTACAGAGCTTAAGTTGATATATTTCTGTCGTAAGAGGCGATTAAAATGTTGGGAGCAAGGGGCTAGTAACCCCTTCTCCTGTATACGTTACTAAATGTAAAAAGAAGAAAGCATTTCTTCTCTTTTTGGCCACCTTGTCTAAGTGGGAGATGGCCAGTGTGTTAAAAAAAAAGTTGATACATATATGAGATGGCTAATAATAGTAAATGTGTACTTGGGGAGCGGGGGCGTAATAGGGGAGTTAGGTTGCCCCCGAGTTTGCTCTTGCTGTGGGCCTTCCGAAATTTTTCTTGGGGTCTAGTTAGGAGTCTCAGAATCTGCTTTTGCTCGGGGGGTCCCTAGTTCTTCCTTGTTTGTATAGGGGCCGCCCAGTTGAATCTTTCTTAGTATGTTCAGGGGAATGGATAGCCAGTGTGTCAAACAAAATATAGAATATTTTCAGAGGCGCGGGTGGAACTATCTCACTTGTGTGATGGGCCAAAGCGCAAAAAACCCCAAAAGTGTCGTACAGGTGCTGCTCTGCTGTGGAAATTCTTACGAAAATGCTTAAATTTGCTCTTGCCATCTTTCATATTACGAAGCATTTTTAATGTCTGTGTGAATGTTTTAAAGAGAGCAGTGAATAAAGGATATAGGGATTACTATCCTCCCATTGATTTATTTTTTCATTGGCCACGGTATAGCATCCATTGTCAGAAATACATCGCATGCTAGTGGCTTTCTAATAAACTATTATTACATGTAAACTGCATTATCTATATACTGGAGAAAAGAAATAAAGAATTCAAATTATTCAATATACACGTTTTCATTTCACTGAATATTTTTCTTTTTTCCTTTCCTTTCCTTTCTTTTTTTTTTCCTCCCTTCTTTCACATGTGAAAATCATTAAGTACCTGATGCATAGCTGTTGTCTAACTTTAACACAAATTTCTGTTTTCTCAGTATTTTTCAAGAATAAAATCTCTTTAAAGCGACTCTAATGTATTGCTCCCGGTGTACACCTGAATGGGCACGTGTATGCTTTTATTTATTATTGTACCACACTGTTGTTTTTATTGTCCATTTTTTTTGGTATATCTACAGGTTTACATTAGATTTTTTTTTTTTCAACAAGTCGGCCGTCTCCCACCGAGGCAGGGTGACCCACCGAGGCAGGGTGACTCAAAAAGAAAGAAAATCCCCAAAAAGAAAATATTTTCATCATCATTCAACACTTTCACCACACTCACACATAATCACTGTTTTTGCAGAGGTGCTCAGAACACAACAGTTTAGAAGCATATACGTATAAAGATACACAACATATCCCTCCAAACTGCTAATATCCCAAAACCCCTCCTTTAGGGTGCAGGCATTGTACTTCCCATTTCCAGGACTCAAGTCCGGCTATATAAAAATAACTGGTTTCCCTGAATCCCTTCACTAAATATTACCCTGCTCACACTCCAACAGATCGTTAGGTCCCAAATACCATTCATCTCCATTTACTCCTATTGAACACGCTCATGCACGCCTGCTGGAAATCCAAGCCCTCTCCCACAAAACCTCCCTTACCCCTTCCTTCCAACCTTTTCGAGGATGACCCCTACCTCGCCTTCCTTCTCCTACAGATTTAAATGCTCTCCATGTCATTCTACTTTGATCCATTCTCTCTAAATGACCAAACCACCTCAACAACCCCTTTTTCAGCCCTCTGACTAATACTTTTATTAACTCCACACCTTCTCCTAATTTCCACACTCCAAATTTTCTACATAATATTTACACCACACATTGCCCTTAGACAGGACATCTCCACTGCCTCCAACCGCCTGCTTGCAGCTGCATTCACAACCCAAGCTTCACACCCATATAAGAGTGTTGGTACTATTATACTTTCATACATTTCTTTCTTTGCCTCCATAGATAACGTTTTTTTGACTCCACATATACCTCAACGCACCACTCGCCTTTTTTCCTTCATCAGTTCTATGATTAACCTCATCCTCCATAAATCCATCTGCTGACACGTCAACTCCCAAGTATCTGAAAACATTCACTTCTTCCATACTCCTCCTCCCCAATTTGATATCCAGTTTTTCTTTATCTAAATAATTTGACACCCTCATCACCTTACTCTTTTCTATGTTCACTTTCAACTTTCTGCCTTTACACACACCCAAACTCATCCACTAACCTTTGCAATTTTTCTTTAGAATCTCCCATAAGCACAGTATCATCAGCAAAAAGTAACTGTGTCAATTCCCATCTTGTATTTGATTCCCCTTAATTTAATCCCACCCCTCTCCCGAACACCCTAGCATTTACTTCTTTCACGACCCCATCTATAAATATATTAAAAAACCATGGTGACATTACACATCCCTGTCTAAGACCTACTTTTACTGGGAAGTAGTCTCCCTCTCTTCTACACACCCTAACCTGAGCCTCACTATCCTCATAAAAACTCTTTACAGCATTTAGTAACTTACCACCTATTCCATATACTTATAACACCTGCCACATTGCTCCCCTATCCACTCTATCATATGCTTTTTCTAAATCCATAAATGCAATAAAAACTTCCCTACCTTTATCTAAATACTGTTCACATATATGCTTCAATGTAAACACTTGATCTACACATCCCCTACCCACTCTGAAACCTCCCTGCTCATCCGCAATCCTACATTCTGTCTTACCTCTAATTCTTTCAATTATAACCCTACCGTACACTTTTCCTGGTATACTCAGTAAACTTATTCCTCTATAATTTTTACAGTCTCTTTTGTCCCCTTTCCCTTTATATAAAGGGACTATACATGCTCTCTGCCAATCCCTAGGTACCTTCCCCTCTTTCATACATTTATTAAAGAAAAGTACCAACCACTCCAACACTATATCCCCCCCTGCTTTTAACATTTCTGTGACATTACATTTATATTAGTTAAATTTTTGTTTTTAATTGTTTGCAACAACATTAAGGGGTAAAACATTTCTGTGTAATGTACATTGCATAGAAATATTATATTTATTTGGTTGTATACAGCTGCAACGACTGAGTAAAATAATGCATACTGTGTTTATAATAATACTGAACATGCTCTGTTTATAATAATAATAATAATAATAATAATAATGATTTGGGATTATAATTCTTGGGCACCTATTCTTTTGACAAGTTCACTATTGTTCGCACATCAAACCATAAATATAGCAACTACAATAAAAAAGATCACCGAGTTTGCATTTATTTTATATAGTAATAATTCTTTTAAATTACTAGGTGACTGCCTGCATTTATATAATGATCTATCTTAATTTTAAAAAGGGTGGATGGGTAAGCCAGTGGAAGGCCTCGGTCAGATGATGAAAAGCTTCATATGCAGGTCATCATATGACTTAGACCCGCATCAGGAAACACTTACCCTGTTTCCTGATAAATCTTACCTAACCTAACCTTCCTTCATTTGCTCTGGAATATCAGTTATAGACTCTCAATACCCTTCTGTATACCTGCAGATCCTGGCAATGATTGAAGAAGCTGCAGGCACTCGCATGTATGAGTCAAAGAAACAGCAAGCTCAGAAGACTATAGAGAAGAAAGATGCTAAACTGAAGGAGATAAATGATGTATGTTAATTTCTTTAAGGGCATTATGCTGATAAATAATTTGGAGGGGTGGGGATATTTGCAGTTTGGAGGGGCATCTGAAGTGTAGAGTCTGCATGCCTCTGGAAAGACAGTGATGGAGTGAATGATAGTGAAGGTGTTTTCTTTTTCGGGTCACCGCACCTCGGTGGAAGATGGCCAGTGTGTTAAAAAAAAAAGTGTATGAATGAATGAAAAATGTTGAATGTATTTTCTTCTTTGGGTCGCCCCACCTTGGTGGGACACAGCTGTTGAGTTAAAAAATGTATGTTTATTAACCCATAAACGGTCCAAACGTATATATATGTTTTTTCAACATTTGAAAGTATGTAAAAAAAGTAGATCTTCTTTTTGTTTTTCTACATTTGAAAATGTGTGAAAAAACTTTGATCTACTTTTTTTTTTGTTATATTTGAAAAGATGCAAAAAAAAAAACCTAGATCTACTTTTGTAATATTACACACGTGAACGTAGATCTGTTTGGACCGTTTACGGGTTAATATGGTGTCATTGAGAAAGGTTAACCATGATGGTATATATAATGTAAATGGAAGGAAGAGGTGGGGACATCCCAGGAATGGATAAACAGAAGGTTTGAAAGAAGTTTTGAGAGGTAGAGGGATGAGCATCCCACAAACATTTGTTAGAGGTGAACCCTCAAGGGAGGCTCCTTGATGCTGGTGAAGGGCTCTTGATCTAAGGAATTGAATCTGCCCTCCCATTCCTTGGATCAAACCTGAATGCTTCCTATTTACCCAGGCACTGTGACCCCTAGGAGTTTAGCACTTCCTATGAAAATAATTATAATAGATTATGGGTCAGCAGAGCAACTTTTTTTGGGAGTCGACATGCTGTTGGAGTGAGGAAAGTAATATCTTTGAAGAGATTTGGGATACCAGTTAGATGAACTTTAGTTGTGGTGGTAGAAAGTACAGTGCCTTCACCTGGGTGATGGGTTTTGGGCATGAAGATGCCCAAATGTTGCACATGTGTCTAATTCTTCACGGGGTAATGTTATTTGGAGGATTATCTGTACTGTAGGAGGGGTGTTAATGTTGCAGTTTAAAAACTATAGTGTAAAGCACCCTTCTGGCAAGACAGTGATGGAGTGAATGATGGGGAAAGTTTTTCTTTTTCGGGCCACCCTACCTTGGTGGGAATCGGCCAGTGTGTTAATAAAAAAAAAAAAAAATCTACTGTGAAGTCTATTCACTTCTGGAAAGATAGCTTGTGTATGAATGATAGCGACTGTACTTCTATTTTAAGGGACCACCAAACCATTATGGGAAATGGCTGACATGTCAATAAATATATAATGTATATGTCTTCATACATCACCTTATTTAATAAAATTGATCTTTTTATTAGATCCTGGAGGAGGAGATCACACCCACACTGAGTAAGCTGAAGGAGGAACGAACAATGTATCTGGAATACCAGAAAGTGCAGCGGGAACTAGAACACCTGACTAAACTTTATATTGCATACAAGTTTGTATCAGCTCAGGTATGTTTATTGTGCAGAAGAGGGATTGAGTATCAAAATTAATATTGGGTGGGGATATTTGCTGTTTGGAGGGATATCTGAACTGTCACGTCTATGAGCCTCTGTCAAGACAGTGATAGTGTGAATGATGATGAAAGTGTTCCTATTTTGGGTCACCTTGTCTCAGTGGGAGATGGCCAGTGTGTTAAAAAAAACTGCTATTGGATGAAAGGTTACCAGTGAAGTGTTAGCAGATATATTAAATCAGTTACAGTTTAAGCTGTGTTCTAAAGAGTAATCTGCTTGGCTTCAGTCACTCACAAAAGCTGCAGTGATTATAAAGCAAAGAGGTCTCCATATTCTTCTGTTATTTTTATGTTTTTATATCTTAATATTTCTTCCATCTCCATGGGGAAGTGGAACAGAATTCTTCCTTCGTAAGCCATGCGTGTCGTAAGAGGCGACTAAAATGCCGGGAGCAAGGGGCTAGTAACCTCTTCTCCTGTATATATTACTAAATGTAAGAGGAGAAACTTTCGTTTTTCCTTTTGGGCCACCCCGCCTCGGTGGGATACGGCCGGTGTGTTGAAAGAAGAAGATTTCTTCCATCTCCATGGGGAAGTGGAACAGAATTCTTCCTTCGTAAGCCATGTGTGTCGTAAGAGGCGACTAAAATGCCGGGAGGAAGGCGCTAGTAATCCCTTCTCCTGTATGCATTACTAAAGTTGAAAAGGGAAACTTGTTTTTTGTTTTGGGCCACCCTGCCTTGGTGGGATATGGCCGGTTTGTTGAAAGAAGAAGAATTTCTTCCATCCTACTTTTGTAGCTGCTATGTTATCATAGTAGGTTGGTAGATAGCAACTATCCAGGGGAGTAATATTGTTCTGTCAATTGATGTCAAAATGGAAACCTGTTTTTTTTTTTTTTCTCACCTGCACAGGTTTGCTGATCTCATAACACATAAGATGACAGGTAAATCTTACATATTTCTACTTGCATTCATTATACAGATACCTTTATGTTCTTGTATGTTTCTTAATAGTTTTTAATCCTGTATTATATACTTTGTAACCTTGGAGGTCTGGTGTGAGACTGCCATAGGGAAGATAATCCCAGAACTACTGACAGGTTACTGAGTGCAGTTCACATTATTTATAACTGTTTCTCTTGAAATATTACATTGAGGAGGCAGTGGAGATGCCACGCTTTAGTGCAGTGTGTGGCGTGAATATTATGCAAAGAATTCAGAGTATAGAAATTAGAAGACAGAGTGTAGTTATGAATGGTGTTATTCAGAAAGCAGATGATGGTTTGTTGCAGTATTTTGGTATTTAAGAGAGGATAGATGAGAATAGGATGGCTAACCATGACTGGAACAATACACAAATAACCCACACAATGTTTTGGTCTGACTTGGACCATGAACTAGTCACATAGAAGTGTAAAGGAAAGGGAGCCATTATATATATTTGAGAAGGGGTGGGGCTGGAAGAACGAGAGGAGGTGGAAGTATGATGGTAGAAGTAGTGGTGGAGGTATTGGTGGAAGTAGTAGTAGTAGTAAGTAGTGCAGTAATGGCAGAGGTAATAATAAAAAGGGAGTAGTGGTAGTGATGCAAGAGCCATAGAGTGGGGTGTTAGCAGGGCAAAGGTAGTAGTTATAATATAGGTACAAGAGAGGAAAAGGAAAAAAAAGAAAAATGTGGCAAAAGAGAGTAGGTAAATAGAGAAGGAGATAAAGATCAGGTCAAGCCACGAGTGTTTTGAAGTTTGGCGCATTTGACAATATAATGAGAAAGGAAGGCATAAGATTCAGTCTCCTGTGTGTGGGTTATTTGTATATATGTGTTAAATATTGATCGTGAAAAATAATTTAATCATATTCCTTTTAACAGCATTTTCATAATTTTTCAGGAGACCAGCGAAAAGGCTCAAGAGGAGCACCAAGGCATCAAGAAACAAATTGATGACCTGCAGCAGCGTATTAGTAGTGGCACGAGAGAGATAAGAGAATTAGATAATCAAATAATTCAGCTGCAGCAGATTCGTGATAATGCAAGTACCATATTTAACCAGTATAAATTTTGTGAAGGGATTCAGGAAAATCAGTTAGCTGGACTCGAGTCCTGGAAGTGGAAAGTATAGTGCCTGCACTCTAAAGGAGGGCGGGTATATTTGTAGTTTGGAGGGGCATCTAGACTGTAGTATCTACACCCCTCTGGCAAGACAGTGATAGAATGAATCATGAAATCGTAATGACACGATTGCAAACAAACCATACCACGGGCGGGATTTGAACGCGACGGTCTGGAGTTTTGAGACTGACCGCGGGTTCAAATCCTGCCCGTGGTATGGTTTAATAGAATGAATGACGGTGAGAGGTTTTTTTTTTTTTTTTGGGGGTCACCCTACCTCAGTGGGAGACAGCCAGCATATTAAAAAAATTAGGCTTAGTAAGGAATGTGTGGTGTCGTTTTGTTGTTTAACATATTTATAGATGGGGTTGTAAAAGAAATGAGTGCTAAGGTGTTAGGGAAGAGGCATGGGATTGATGGATAACAAATTTGAAGCAAAGTAAGAGTTGTCACAGTTGCACTTTGCTGATAGTTTTGTTTTTTTTTAGATTCTGAAGAGCAGTTGCATAAGTTGCTGGAGGAAATTTAAGAGGCTTTGTAGCAGAAGGATATTTAAAGTAAACATTGGAGAGAGCAAGGTGATAGGAGTAATAATAATTCTAGGCAGTGAAAGATTGGATATTAGATTGGCAGGAGTATGAATGGATGAAATAAATGTGTTAAGACATTTAGGAGTGGATTTATCAGTAGATGGTGGTGTGCAAGACATGGTGGTGATTCGAACTGATGAGGAGTTGAAAAAGGCAAGTGGAGCATTGTAAGAACAAAGAAATTTATATATGGAGACAAAAAGGGGAATTTATTTTTAACACATAAGCTGTTTCCCACCAAGGCAGGGTGACCCAAAAAGAAAAACACTCATCATCACTCACTCCATCACCATCTTGTTAGAGGCATGCCGATACTACAGTTCAAAAGCTGCAACATATCTTCACCCTTCCTTCAGAGTCAGGCAAAGTACTTTCCATCTCCAGGACTCAAGTCCAGCTAACCTGGGAATGTATCTGAGTAAAATGGTAATACAGTAGCACTGATATAAAGGTGTGAAGGATGGGTTTTGAACATTACAGTGAGGAGGACACTGGCAGAGATGTGTTTGAAGGTGATTTTATTTTATTAACACATTGGCCGTCTCCCACCAAGGCAGGTGGCTTGAAAAAGAAAAACCATCATTCACTCCATCACTTTCTTGCCAGAGGCATGCTTACACTACAGTTATCAAACTGCAACATTAACACCCCTCCTTCAGAGTGTTGGCACTGTACTTCCCATCTCCAGGACTCAAGTCCAGCCTGCTGGTTTCCCTGAATCCCTTCATAAATGTTACCTTGCTCACATCCCAGCAGCACGTCAAGTCCTAAAAACTATTTGCCTCCATTTGCTCCTGTCTAACACGCTCACCCATGCTTTCTTGAAGTCCAAGCCCCTTGCACACAAAACCTCCTTTGAAGGTGATGTGAGGTGTAAATATAATGCAGAAAATTCATATTGTAGAGATTAGAAGGTTTGAGCTACCAAAAGTATAATTTCAAGGGACTGAGAAGGGGTTGTTGAGGTGGTCTGGATATTTAGAGGATGAAGCAGAGCAGGATGACTTGGAGAGTAATGTATATAAATATGGGGGTACAGGGAGGGGAGGGGTCATCCTAGGAAGGGTTGGAAGGAGGGGGGTAAAGGAGGTTTTGAGTGCTATGGCTTGAACAATTGACAGACTTGTGAGAACATTAGATCTGAGTGATTGGAGGCAAGTGCTTTTTACGAAGATGTGCTGTTGAAGTGTATGCAAGGTAACGTTTTTGAAGGGATTCAGAGGAAATTGGTTAGGTAAACTTTAAGTCCTAGAAGTGGGAAGCACAGTGCCTGCACTCCAAAAGAGTGAAGTTACTATGGTTCAGTAGGTCCTCTAAACTGTGATGGCAGCACACTTTTAGCAAGATAGTAATTGAATGAATGACAGTGAATGTGTTTACTCCTTTTTTTTTTGGAGAGGATGGTCACCCTACCTATGTTGGAGATGGCCCATATGTTAAAAAAAAATGAATACATTGCTTATCGCTTTCATTCCTTTTATTTTAATAGGAGACAGGAAGTCAGTATGGCCAATATGTTAAAAAAATAATACATTACTGATGGCTTCCATTCCTTTTATTTTAACAGGAGACGGGAGGTCAATTACAAGAATTAGAAAAAAACCTAAAAGAGAAAGATAAAGCAGATGTGAAACTCTGTGCCTCTCTGAAAAACTTGAAAGACACTATATTGGCAGAAGAGAAGAAGAGAAAACACCTTGAGAAATCTCTGGCTGATGTAAGTATTATAGAAATAATTAAAGAATGAAAAAGTCACAATACCGTGACTGGAACAATACATAAATAACCAACACGTAGGAGAAAGAAACTTACGACAACGTTTTGGTCCAACTTGGACTTTGTAAGTAGGTAAGACACATAGGCAACAGGCAACTTGATTCCAACCTGTTGGTATTGTATACCATATTAATGTTGGACTTTGTAAGTCTCTTGTATGTGTGGGTTATTTGTGTATTGCAGAAGTAATTAAAACTTCCTCTTCACAGACTTAAACATGACTTTCAATATATGCTTAGTCAGTGCAGTCATTCTAGCTTTACATGGGTTTGCATTATGTGAATTTGTTATTAGGAGATGTCCCATCTCTGTCAGTAAGTTTTTGTAGATTTTAATGAACTTTTCATGAGTGTGAGTTATGTCTGCGCTTTTTAAGGCCTCTGGAGTTTCACCTAAATCGTAAGCTTATTCTCCAAAGTTCACTAAGTTTCTTTGTTTTTTTGTTTTTTGTTTTTTTAACAAGTCGGCCGTCTCCCACCGAGGCAGGGTGTCCCAAAAAGAAAGAAAATCCCCAAAAAGAAAATACTTTCATCATCATTCAACACTTTCACCTCACTCACACAATCACTGTGCTCAGAACACAACAGTTTAGGAGCATATACGTATAAAGATACACAACATATCCCTCCAAACTGCCAATATCCCAAACCCCTCCTTTAAAGTGCAGGCATTGTACTTCCTATTTCCATGACTCAAGTCCGGCTATATAAAAATAACCGGTTTCCCTGAATCCCTTCACTAAATATTACCCTGCTAACACTCCAACAGCTCTTCGGGACTCAAATACCATTCGTCTCCATTCACTCCTTTGTAACATGCTGACGCCCACTTGCTGGAAGTCCAAGCCCCTCGCCCACAAAACCTCCTTTACCTCTTCCTTCCAACCTTTTCGAGGATGACCCCTACCCCGCCTTTCTTCCCCTACAGATTTATACGCTCTCCATGTCATTCTACTTTGATCCATTCTCTCTAAATGACCAAACCACCTCAACAACCCCTCTTCAGCCCTCTGACTAATACTTTTATTAACTTGCACCTTCTCCTAAGTACTTGTGATATTTTTGTAATAAAATACCAGTTAAAATAAGTCACTGTTTGATTTTTTTTTTTGGGGGGGGAGGTGGGGTTAACTTAGGTAATTTACATATTTGTTACTAATGATATATATGGTGCACAAGTGTCGGCTTCTTGCTAGCACGATGTTTCCAAGCAGTTGTAAGGTAACATTAGTAAACAACTGTTGTAACACAAAGCCTGCCCTTGACCCTGACCTGGAATATATATGATGCAGGATGATTTTCCATGACCTTTCTTTGAGGAAAAAACCTGTCTTATGTGCTGGAAAATACAGTAATTTCCACATTATGGAAATTGGGCCCAGGTACTGCATACTAATAGTGTGTTGTCTGTTTCTTATTCATCCTGTAGGATATGTTGTCTGTATCTTATCCTGTAGGATATGTTGTCTGTTTCTTATCCTGTAGGATATGTTGTCTGTTTCTTATTCATCCTGTAAGATATGTTGTCTGTTTCTTATTTGTCCTGTAGGATATGTTGTCTGTTTCTTATTCATCCTGTAAGATATGTTGTCTGTTTCTTATTTGTCCTGTAGGATATGTTGTCTGTTTCTTATCCTGTAGGATATTTAACCTATAGGGTGGGAAGAGCTAATTAAAAATCCATCTAGGTCTTCCACTCTCATGATGTCTTATGGATTGCTGACCATTGATTCATACTATTCTTTCAGAATTTTGCTCATTTCTTTGTTGTCATCTGTGTATGAATGGAAGTGGGAATAGCAATATAAAACATTTATTATATAAGTATGAAAATGCAGTCAGAATCACTGTAATTACCTTGGATGTAATGAATACTGTGGCAGCCATACATCAAAGATGCAGATAGTGTGGGTACGTTATTGAATATTCTGTTTATCAGTTTTTCCTTAAAAATTGATACATCTCTAGATTAGTAATACATTTGAATGTTGGGTAAATTAAGAATTTTAAGAAACATACAATCTATTTAATAATCAGATGTGATTTTGTTGTGGAAAAAGACTGAATTGAAAATATTTTTAAACTACGTCTTTTACGTTCTTTCCTTATTATTATTATTATTATTTTTTTTTTTTTTTCAACAAGTCGGCCGTCTCCCACCGAGGCAGGGTGACCCAAAAAAGAAAGAAAATCCCCAAAAAGAAAATACTTTCATCATCATTCAACACTTTCACCACACTCACACATTATCACTGTTTTTGCAGAGGTGCTCAGAATACAACAGTCTAGAAGCATACACATATAAAGATACACAACATATCCCTCCAAACTGCCAATATCCCAAACCCCTCCTTTAAAGTGCAGGCATTGTACTTCCCATTTCCAGGACTCAAGTCCGACTATATGAAAATAACCGGTTTCCCTGAATTTTTTTTTATTATTATTATCACACTGGCCGATTCCCACCAAGGCAGGGTGGCCCGAAAAAGAAAAACTTTCACCATCATTCACTCCATCACTGTCTTGCCAGAAGGGTGCTTTACACTACAGTTTTTAAACTGCAACATTAACACCCCTCCTTCAGAGTGCAGGCACTGTACTTCCCATCTCCAGGACTCAAGTCCGGCCTGCCGGTTTCCCTGAATCCCTTCATAAATGTTACTTTGCTCACACTCCAACAGCACGTCAAGTATTAAAAACCATTTGTCTCCATTCACTCCTATCAAACACGCTCACGCATGCCTGCTGGAAGTCCAAGCCCCTCGCACACAAAACCTCCTTTACCCCCTCCCTCCAACCCTTCCTAGGCCGACCCCTACCCCGCCTTCCTTCCACTACAGACTGATACACTCTTGAAGTCATTCTGTTTCGCTCCATTCTCTCTACATGTCCGAACCACCTCAACAACCCTTCCTCAGCCCTCTGGACAACAGTTTTGGTAATCCCGCACCTCCTCCTAACTTCCAAACTACGAATTCTCTGCATTATATTCACACCACACATTGCCCTCAGACACGACATCTCCACTGCCTCCAGCCTTCTCCTCGCTGCAACATTCATCACCCACGCTTCACACCCATATAAGAGCGTTGGTAAAACTATACTCTCATACATTCCCTCTTTGCCTCCAAGGACAAAGTTCTTTGTCTCCACAGACTCCTAAGTGCACCACTCACTCTTTTTCCCTCATCAATTCTATGATTCACCTCATCTTTCATAGACCCATCCGCTGACACGTCCACTCCCAAATATCTGAATACGTTCACCTCCTCCATACTCTCTCCCTCCAATCTGATATTCAATCTTTCATCACCTAATCTTTTTGTTATCCTCATAACCTTACTCTTTCCTGTATTCACCTTTAATTTTCTTCTTTTGCACACCCTACCAAATTCATCCACCAATCTCTGCAACTTCTCTTCAGAATCTCCCAAGAGCACAGTGTCATCAGCAAAGAGCAGCTGTGACAACTCCCACTTTGTGTGTGATTCTTTATCTTTTAACTCCACGCCTCTTGCCAAGACCCTCGCATTTACTTCTCTTACAACCCCATCTATAAATATATTAAACAACCACGGTGACATCACACATCCTTGTCTAAGGCCTACTTTTACTGGGAAAAAATTTCCCTCTTTCCTACATACTCTAACTTGAGCCTCACTATCCTCGTAAAAACTCTTCACTGCTTTCAGTAACCTACCTCCTACACCATACACTTGCAACATCTGCCACATTGCCCCCCTATCCACCCTGTCATACGCCTTTTCCAAATCCATAAATGCCACAAAGACCTCTTTAGCCTTATCTAAATACTGTTCACTTATATGTTTCACTGTAAACACCTGGTCCACACACCCCCTACCTTTCCTAAAGCCTCCTTGTTCATCTGCTATCCTATTCTCCGTCTTACTCTTAATTCTTTCAATTATAACTCTACCATACACTTTACCAGGTACACTCAACAGACTTCTTTCTTTCAACACACCAGCCGTATCCCACCGAGGCGGGGTGGCCCAAAAGGAAAAACAAAAGTTTGTCCTTTTACATTTAGTAATATATACAGGAGAAGGGGTTACTAGCCCCTTGCTCCTGGCATTTTAGTTGCCTCTTACAACACGCATGGCTTACGGAGGAAGAATTCTGTTCCACTTCCCCATGGAGGACTCAACAGACTTATCCCCCTATAATTTTTGCACTCTCTTTTGTCCCCTTTGCCTTTATACAAAGGAACTATGCATGCTCTCTGCCAATCCCTAGGTACCTTACCCTCTTCCATACATTTATTAAATAATTGCACCAACCACTCCAAAACTATATCCCCACCTGCTTTTAACATTTCTATCTTTATCCCATCAATCCCGGCTGCCTTACCCCCTTTCATTTTACCTACTGCCTCACGAACTTCTCCCACACTCACAACTGGCTCTTCCTCACTCCTACAAGATGTTATTCCTCCTTGCCCTATACACGAAATCACAGCTTCCCTATCTTCATCAACATTTAACAATTCCTCAAAATATTCCCTCCATCTTCCCAATACTCTAACTCTCCATTTAATAACTCTCCTCTCCTATTTTTAACTGAAAAATCCATTTGTTCTCTAGGCTTTCTTAACTTGTTAATCTCACTCCAAAACTTTTTCTTATTTTCAACAAAATTTGTTGATAACATCTCACCCACTCTCTCATTTGCTCTCTTTTTACATTGCTTCACCACTCTCTTAACTTCTCTCTTTTTCTCCATATACTCTTCCCTCCTTGCATCACTTCTACTTTGTAAAAACTTCTCATATGCTAACTTTTTCTCCCTTACTACTCTCTTTACATCATCATTCCACCAATCGCTCCTTCCCTCCTGCACCCACTTTCCTGTAACCACAAACTTCTGCTGAACACTCTAACACTACATTTTTAAACCTACCCCATACCTCTTCGACCCCATTGCCTATGCTCTCATTAGCCCATCTATCCTCCAATAGCTGTTTATATCTTACCCTAACTGCCTCCTCTTTTAGTTTATAAACCTTCACCTCTCTCTTCCCTGATGCTTCTATTCTCCTTGTATCCCATCTACCTTTTACTCTCAGTGTAGCTACAACTAGAAAGTGATCTGATATATCTGTGGCCCCTCTATAAACATGTACATCCTGAAGTCTACTCAACAGTCTTTTATCTACCAATACATAATCCAACAAACTACTGTCATTTCGCCCTACATCATATCTTGTATACTTATTTATCCTCTTTTTTCTTAAAATATGTATTACCTATAACTAAACCCCTTTCTATACAAAGTTCAATCAAAGGGCTCCCATTATCATTTACACCTGGCACCCCAAACTTACCTACCACACCCTCTCTAAAAGTTTCTCCTACTTTAGCATTCAAGTCCCCTACCACAATTACTCTCTCACTTGGTTCAAAGGCTCCTATACATTCACTTAACATCTCCCAAAATCTCTCTCTCTCCTCTGCATTCCTCTCTTCTCCAGGTGCATACACGCTTATTATGACCCACTTCTCGCATCCAACCTTTACTTTAATCCACATAATTCTTGAATTTACACATTCATATTCTCTTTTCTCCTTCCATAACTGATCATTTAACATTACTGCTACCCCTTCCTTTGCTCTAACTCTCTCAGATACTCCAGATTTAATCCCATTTATTTCCCCCATTGAAACTCTCCTACCCCCTTCAGCTTTGTTTCGCTTAGGGCCAGGACATCCAACTTCTTTTCATTCATAACATCAGCAATCATCTGTTTCTTGTCATCCGCACTACATCCACGCACATTTAAGCAACCCAGTTTTATAAAATTTTTCTTCTTCTCTTTTTTAGTAATTGTATACAGGAGAAGGGGTTACTAGCCCATTGCTCCCGGCATTTTAGTCGCCTCATACGACACGCATGGCTTACGGAGGAAAGATTCTTTTCCACTTCCCCATGGACAATAGAAGAAATAAAAAAAGAACAAGAGCTATTTAGAAAAAGGAGAAAAACCTAGATGTATGTATATATATATATATGCATGTGCGTGTCTGTGAAGTGTGACCAAAGTGTAAGTAGGAGTAGCAAGATATCTCTGTTATCTTAGCGTGTTTATGAGACAGAAAAAGAAAACCAGCAATCCTACCATCATGCAAAACAGTTACAGGTTTTTGTTTCACAGTCATCTGGCAGGACGGTAGTACTTCCCTGGGTGGTTGCTGTCTACCAACCTACTACCTGAATCCCTTCACTAAATATTACCCTGCTCACACTCCAACAGATCGTCAGGTCCCAAGTACCATTCGTCTCCATTCACTCCTATCTAACACGCTCACGCACGCTTGCTGGAAGTCCAAGCCCCTCGCCCACAAAACCTCCTTTACCCCCTCTCTCCAACCCTTTCGAGGACGACCCCTACCCCGCCTTCCTTCCCCTATAGATTTATATGCTTTCCATGTCATTCTACTTTGATCCATTCTCTCTAAATGACCAAACCACCTCAACAACCCCCTCTTCTGCCTCTGACTAATACTTTTATTAACTCCACACCTTCTCCTAATTTCCACACTCCGAATTTTCTGCATAATATTTACACCACACATTGCCCTTAAACAGGACATCTCCACTGCCTCCAACCGTCTCCTCGCTGCTGCATTTACCACCCAAGCTTCGCACCCATATAAAAGTGTTGGTACTACTATACTTTCATACATTCCCTTCTTTGCCTCCATAGATAACGTTTTTTGACTCCACATATACCTCAACGCACCACTCACCTTTTTTCCCTCATCAATTCTATGATTAACCTCATCCTTCATAAATCCATCCGCCGACACGTCAACTCCCAAGTATCTGAAAACATTCACTTCTTCCATACTCCTCCTCCCCAATTTGATATCCAATTTTTCTTTATCTAAATCATTTGACACCCTCATCACCTTACTCTTTTCTATGTTCACTTTCAGCTTTCTACCTTTACACACATTCCCAAACTCATCCACTAACCTTTGCAATTTTTCTTTAGAATCTCCCATAAGCACAGTATCATCAGCAAAAAGTAACTGTGTCAATTCCCATTTTGAATTTGATTCCCCAAAATTTAATCCCACCCCTCTCCCGAAAACCTTGCATTTACTTCCTTTACAACCCCATCTATAAATATATTAAACAACCATTATTATTATTATTTATTATTATTATTATTATTATTATTATTATTATTATTATTATTATCAAATAATTAGTCGAATCCTGAAATTTTTTTTTTTTTTTCAACAAGTCGGCCTTCTCCCACCGAGGCAGGGTGACCCAAAAAAGAAAGAAAATCCTCAAAAAGAAAATACTTTCATCATCATTCAACACTTTCACCACACTTGCACATTATCACTGTTTTTGCAGAGGCACTCAGAATACAACAGTTTAGAAGCATACACATATAAAGATACACAACATATCCCTCCAAACTGCCAGTATCCTGAATCCCTTCACAAAATATTACCTTGTTCACACTCCATCAGCTCATTAGATCCCAAGAATCATTTGTTTCCACTCACTCTGGACTTGAGTCCTGGAGGTGGGAAATATAGTGCCTGCACTCTAAAGGAGGGGTTTGGGATATTTGCTGTTTGAAGGTTATATGTAAACTCATATCTGCACACCTCTGGAAAGACAATGATAGTTTGAATGATGGTGGAAGTGTTTCTTTTTCTGATCATCTTGCCTTGGTAGGATACATCCAGTGTGTTAAAAAAAAAATAGTTGAATCATTGCATTATTTTGTTAACCATAATGTTTGCATTTTATTGCTACAGGATATCAAAGCTCTGGAAAGCAAAAGGAAAGAAAGTGATAAACTGCAAGGAACTTTTGATAAAATGCGAGCACAGGACCAAAAAGATAATGATGCCCTGGTTGCTGCAGAGAAGAGGCTACAGGCAATCAGCTCGGGAATGTACTCTGCAGGGGATGGAGAGGATGCAACCCTACAAGAACAGCTGATGAGTAAGTGCTGTGGACTAACCATAAAAAGTTCCTGGGGAAAATGCCACATTCTCAGAGAAAGCACTTGTGTGGATGGTGATATAAACTGTTTGCCCTTCATTGGGTATTTTTTTCATATTATCATGTTCACATTACTTTCACAAATTCTTTTCATGATTACTTATTATTTTATAAACTTAAGAGTGCTGGCACTCTGAAGGAAGGATAGGAATGTTGTAATCACTGGGTAAACTGAGTGTAATGTTAGCAGACTTCTCATAAGTCAGCATTTGAATGAATGATGGTGAATGTGTTGTCATTTTTGGGCACTCCAGCCTTGGTGGGAGATGGCTTTTTTTCTTATTTTTATTATCAATTCCTTTACAGATACTAAAGCCAGTATCACAGAAGCAAAAACGGCAACAAAACAGGCTGAAATGAAATTAAAACATAGTGAAGAGGAATTGAAAGAGAAACAAAAAGAAATGAAGAGAACTGCTGCTGAATATGTAAAGGATAAATCTCTCCTTGAGAAAATGGAGAATGAAGTTAAAGTTCTTCAAGTAAGTTTGTACAGAAGTAGTAAGTCTTCATGTAAGTTTAATACAGAAGTAGTAAATCTTCAAGTAAGTTTAATACAGAAGTAGTAAATCTTCAAGTAAGTTTAATACAGAAGTAGTAAGTCTTCAAGTAAGTTTAACCCTTTCAGTGTTTCTGGCGTACTAGTACGGCTTACGCACAAGGGTTTTTGACGTACTAGTGCACCTAAATTCTAGCACCCTCAGATCTAGTGAGAGAAAGCTGGTGGGCCTACATATGAAAGAATGGGTCTATGTCGTTAGTGTGTGCAGTATAAAAAAAATCCTGCAGCACACAGTGTGTAATGAGGAAAAAAAAAACTTTGACAGTGTTTTTGGTTTAAAACAGCAACTTTGCACTGTATTTTTGTATGGTATTTATGATGATATTCTAGTTTTCCTGGTCTCATTTTATAAAATTGAAGACATATTACAGAAATTGAGATGATTTTGATTGGTTTTACAATGAAAAGTACCTTGAAATTGAACTCAAAGTAGCAGAAATCTTTGATTTTTGCCAAAGTTCAAAAGTAAACAAATGCTAAGCGTCCGATACACATCAACTGGTGAGTCTCATATTCTTTCACAAGTGCGCCGATATTATTTATACCATTTCTACACCAATGCAGTAGTCTGCATAGCAGTAAATCTTCTATTTTTTGTGAGAAAAATTCAAAGTGGAAAGCAAAAGAATGTAAGAGGGGCATTGGGATGTGAATAATGGACAGAAGAAATGTTATTTTAGTGCCAGGAATGTCTGTCTTGTTTATTCTGAACCCTATTTGGAAATTGGCATTTTTTGAAATTTGTGTGAAATTGGCAAAATTGCTAAATTCTGACCACTTATTGGATAGTTGAAATCGGTAAATGGGTGGTTTCTTGTACTCATTCGATAGAAAAAAGGGAGTTCTAGCGAAATAATTATGATTTTTGTCGACTAGTACACTGGAATTGGCCGAAAATAGGGCTCAAAGTGGGCAAAATCGCCGATGCATTGACATCGTCGAGACCGCTAACTTCACGAGAGCATAATTCCGTAAGTTTTCCATCAAATTTCATACTTTTGGTGTCATTATGATCAGGAAAAGATTGTCTATCTTTTCATAAGATTTTTTTTTTTTTTTTTTTTTTTTTTTTTAAATTTGTCGACCCTGAGAGCAAGTCTGGGAAAGGGCCTGTTGACCCTGAAGGGGTTAATACAGTAGTCAGTCTTCAAGTAAGTTTAATACAAAGGAAGTAAATCTCTAAATTGACAAAGTTCCATTCCAAAATTTCAAGCATATCGAGTGTCTCCATTCAGTCAGCTGTATTAAAACTGTAATCTTGTGTAACTCCCTGTGATGCTTTGACATTATAATGTCAATGTATGTTAATACCATAAAGTCTCTCTTCTAATGTATTTGTTAAATATCTTATCTTTTTAACACGCTGGCCACCTGCCACTGAGGCAGGGTGACCCAAAAGAGAAAGAAACACTTTTACCATCATTCACACAATCACTGTCTTTGCAAAAGTGCCCAGATATGACAGTTTAGATGTCACTCCAAACAGCCACTGTCCCAAACCCCTCGGAATCCCTTCACAAAATATTCCTCTGCTCACTCTCCAACAGCTTGTCAAGTCCCAAAAGCCATTTGTCTCCATTCACTCCTATCTAATATACCCACACATGCCTGCTGCATGTCCAGGCCCCTTGCACACAAAACCTGTTTTACCCCCTACCTCAAGCCTTTCCTAGGATGACCCCTACCCCTCCTCCCCTCCACTACAAATTTATACACCCTCCAAGTCATTCTATTTTGCTCTATCCTCTTCACACCTCCCCTCCACACCTCCTCCTAATTTCCACACTACGAATTCTCAGCATATTTACACCACACATTGCCCTTAGACATAACATCTCCACTGCCTCCAGCCTCCTCTTTGCTGTAACATTTACAACCCATGCTTCACACCCATATATGTGTGTTGGCACCACTGTGCTCTTTTATATTCCCTTCTTTGCCTCCATGGATAAAGTTTTTTGTCTCAGATACCTCAAAGCAGCACTCACCTTTTTTCCTTCAATTCTGTGGTTAACCTCATCCTTCAAGTCAACTCCCAAATATCTGAACACATTCACTTCTTCCATACTCTCTCCCTCCAATGTGATATCCAATTTTTCTCTACCTAACTTGTTTGATACCCTCATCACCTTATTCTTACCTATGTTCAGCTTCAACTTTCTTTACACGCCCTCCCGAACTCATCCTTCTGTGTCTCTTAATTTTGCAATGCTAACATAAATCTTCTTGGGCAAATTACTCTACATAAATAACCCACTCTTAGGAGAGAGAAGTGTATGACAACATTTCAGTCTGACTTGGACCATATACGTACCATGTCATACTAAATTACAGTAGTTTGAGTTAGCAGAATATGATCAGATTCACCACAGGTAATCCAGTTTTTAATATTTTAGCATATAAACTGAACTTTCCTCTCGCATTGGAGAGAGAGGTATAGGTGGTTTTGTGTTCAAGGGGCTTAGACTTTCAGCAAGCATGTGTCAGCATGTTAGATAATAGTAAGTGGTTTTTATGACTTGATATGCTGTTGGAGTGTGAGCAAAGTAACATTTATGAAGAGATTCAGGGAAACTGGGTAGCCAGATTTAAGTACTAGAAATAACGAATAAAAAAAGGCACAATACCGTGACTGGAACGATACACAAATAACCCGCACATAAAAGAGAGAAGCTTACGACGACATTTCGGTCCGACTTGGACCATTTACAAAGTCGCACTAACCAGAAGTGGAGCAGGACGGCTATATATAGGCAGGAAGAGGTGGTGGTGGTAGTAGTAGTAGTAGTACAAGAATGGTAAATAATACCGACAAGATGAAATTAAGACACATGCGCAACACCTGGGCATCTCTATCGTAGACGTTTCGCCATCCAGCCAGCTACTGGATGGCGAAACGTCCACAACAAAGACACCCAGATGCCGCACATGTGTCTTAATTTCATCAGTAGTAGTAGTAGTAGAAGAAGAGGTAGTAGTAGTGGTAGTGGTAGAAGTGGGGAATAAGGAGGACGAGCCAGTCAAATGCAAAGGAAGGGGAGTACTGCAAGGGAGCTAGGTGCCCACAGGGAGAGCAAGAACACAGAGGTGCGTGAAAGGGGAAGTGGTGAAGTAAATGAAGAAGGAACTGAAACACGAGACAGAAGAGAGAAAGACAACCCAGAGGAGAAAAAGGAAAGAGGAAAGGGGAAGAGGGAGAAGAAGAAAAAGAAAAAGAAAAAATGAGGAGTCAGGTTAAGTCACGGGTGTTCTGAAGTTTGGAGCATTTTACAATGTAGTGGGAGAGGAAGGCATCTACAGAGACGAAGCCAGGGCTAAGATTCATACAAGGAAAGTTGTGTATTAGAGAGGATTCAACTAGACGGTGACTGTTCGAGTTGGAAGTAGGGAAGACAGTTTTAGCAGAAGACCATTCAATAGGATGGCTATGATCTCTGACGTGACAGAAAAGAGCATTGTTAGTGTCGGCAAGCCTAACACTATTTTTGTGCTCCCTAAGTCTGTCAGAAAGAGATCAACCAGTTTCTCCGAAGTATTGAAGAGGACAGGAGGAGCAAGAAATAGAGTAGACACCAGGAACATCTGTAGAGGGAGGAGAGGTATGAACGAGATTAGTGTGAAGAGTGTTAGTCTGGTGGAAGGTAAGCTTGATGTCTAAGGGATGGAGAGAATTGTTGAGATTAGAAAGACCGGGAAGCTGTGATTTCGTGTATAGGGCAAGGAGGAATAACATCTTGTAGGAGTGAGGAAGAGCCAGTTGTGAGTGTGGGGGAAGTTCGTGAGGCAGTAGGTAAAATGAAAGGGGGTAAGGCAGCCGGGATTGATGGGATAAAGATAGAAATGTTAAAAGCAGGTGGGGATATAGTTTTGGAGTGGTTGGTGCAATTATTTAATAAATGTATGGAAGAGGGTAAGGTACCTAGGGATTGGCAGAGAGCATGCATAGTTCCTTTGTATAAAGGCAAAGGGGATAAAAGAGAGTGCAAAAAATTATAGGGGATAAGTCTGTTGAGTGTACCTGGTAAAGTGTATGGTAGAGTTATAATTGAAAGAATTAAGAGTAAGACGGAGAATAGGATAGCAGATGAACAAGGAGGCTTTAGGAAAGGTAGGGGGTGTGTGGACCAGGTGTTCACAGTGAAACATATAAGTGAACAGTATTTAGATAAGGCTAAAGAGGTCTTTGTGGCATTTATGGATTTGGAAAAGGCGTATGACAGGGTGGATAGGGGGGCAATGTGGCAGATGTTGCAAGTGTATGGTGTAGGAGGTAGGTTACTGAAAGCAGTGAAGAGTTTTTACGAGGATAGTGAGGCTCAAGTTAGAGTATGTAGGAAAGAGGAAATTTTTTCCCAGTAAAAAGTAGGCCTTAGACAAGGATGTGTGATGTCACCGTGGTTGTTTAATATATTTATAGATGGGGTTGTAAGAGAAGTAAATGCGAGGGTCTTGGCAAGAGGCGTGGAGTTAAAAGATAAAGAATCACACACAAAGTGGGAGTTGTCACAGCTGCTCTTTGCTGATGACACTGTGCTCTTGGGAGATTCTGAAGAGAAGTTGCAGAGATTGGTGGATGAATTTGGTAGGGTGTGCAAAAGAAGAAAATTAAAGGTGAATACAGGAAAGAGTAAGGTTATGAGGATAACAAAAAGATTAGGTGATGAAAGATTGAATATCAGATTGGAGGAGAGAGTATGGAGGAGGTGAACGTATTCAGATATTTGGGAGTGGACGTGTCAGCGGATGGGTCTATGAAAGATGAGGTGAATCATAGAATTGATGAGGGAAAAAGAGTGAGTGGTGCACTTAGGAGTCTGTGGAGACAAAGAACTTTGTCCTTGGAGGCAAAGAGGGGAATGTATGAGAGTATAGTTTTACCAACGCTCTTATATGGGTGTGAAGCGTGGGTGATGAATGTTG